GCACTCACCAATGCAGGACGAGTGGTGCTGGGTGAAGCCAGGGGGGCACTTGCAGTTGAAGCTCCCGATGACGTTGACACAGAGGAACTGGCAGTTGTGCTGCTTGGTGGAGCACTCATCCAGGTCTGCAGGGACAAGGGGAGGGTCTCAGTTTGTCCCCCTGAGGCTGTGACACCTCAGTGTCCCTGTGGATGCACAGCAGCAGCCCCAGGAACAACTCCCCTGAAGTTCTCCCAGGGGAAGGACAAACCGGATGAGGTGGAGACCTCATACACATTATTTTCCTTGTTTTTCCCAATTATTTCCCCCAGTTTTGCCCATTATTTTCTCCCAATTTTCCCCATTATTTCTCCCATTTCCCCCTATTTTGCCCCCCATTATTTTCCACAAGTGTTGCCAATTATTTCCCCCATTTTTCCCAATTATTTCCCCCCATTTTCCCCATTCATTTTCCATCATTTTCCCAGTTATTTCCCCCATTTTTCCCAATTATTTTCCCTCATTTTTCCCAAATATTTTTCCCATTTCCCCCCTATTTTTCCCCTATTATTTTCCACAATTTTCCCCATTATTTTTCCCATTTACCCCCTATTTTTCCCCTATTATTTCCCCCCATGTTTCCCAATTATTTCCCCCTATTTTTCCCCAATTATTTTCCCCATTTTCCCCCATTATTTCTCCAAATTTTTCCTGATTAATTTCCCCCAATTTCCCCATTATTTTCCCACCCATCAGCAAGATGCAGGGGTGTTCCCCTGCCTCTCCTGCAGGCCACAGATCCCAGGTTCTCCCAGATCCCGAGGCCAGGCTCCCACACTGTGGGGTGGGCACAGCCCCAGCCTGGCTGGTGACAATGCCACGTGCAGGGGACATCCCTCTGAGCTCCCTGGAGCTCAGGATGTGCTGTGCAGTCTCCAGGACAGAACCAAGAGCATTTTTTTCCTGATGAGCCACACCTGGAGTGTGGAAGGGTCAAACCCTCATGCGTGGCACCTTTCCCCACTTCCATCTTCCTGCTGATGTTTTCCCCCATCTGGCTGCCCTGTCCCCTGTCCCCCAGCTCCCTGCTCCTGTACCTTTGCAGATTTTGCCATCCTCCTGCAGGATGTAGCCCCGGGGGCAGGAGCACTGGTAGCTGCCCTCGGTGTTCTTGCAGATGAAGTTGCAGGGCTTTGGGGACTGGTTACACTCGTCCAGATCTGCACCCCAAGGGACAAAACACATCAGCTTGTGCTGCTGGGCAGGGTCCCCTCCAGCCCTCCCAGCCCACTCAGGGCTCCTGAACTCAAGGTGATGCCAGGTTTTGTGCTCAGGGCTGAGATATGCCCGAGGATTGTGGCATTCCTGGATAAACACCCCATTCTCACTCTGCAGGAAGCAGCTGAGGGCTTTGGGGGAGCAGCTCAGTTCGAGCCAGCACAAGAAACAAGTGATAAATCCTGCAGGGAGAGCGCTGTGATTCCAGATGTTTATGCCAACATCTGGATCCCAGCAGGGCGCTCAGCCTGCCTGGAACCAGCTGTGCTGCCTGGGAGGGGGTGGCAGCTCCCAGATTTCAGCTCAGATCCCAGTCCCGGGCTTGGGGAAGACTGAACTCATTTTTAGGGAGTTAAAGGAGGACTCAGAGGTGAGCAGGGTGGAGATCTGGACCCACAGCTCTGGGGAGTCGAGGGAAGGGTGGGTCCCAGGTGGGGTTAAGGACCAGGGAGGGCAGCCCAGGTGTAGCAGACTCCATGGGGGATTGAGATTTAACAGTAGGAACTGCTGAGTAAGGATGAGACAGCAAAATAAGCTC